GCTAATGGGACGCCTTTCTGACACTTTAATTTTCAGTTTGGAAGCTGAGCTGATTGTATTTTCTCAAGTTTAATTTCCCACCTTTTAGGGCTATTCATCAAAGGTCACTTCATCACAGCGCCTTGATTTGAAACCTTTGGTCTCTGCTTCTCAGAAACTGATTGGATTTAACAAGATGTTATTAATTTTTTGTTTGTGGTCAGAGAGATTACCATAAGCAGCAGACAGTTCTGCCTCCACATCTAATTATTCTCCACCAAGGCAGAATTTAAACAGGCACTGCTGTGTCAGACTGCATTAGATCGTCTGCTTTACTTCCCCATCATTGATGTTAAACTTATTTCTGCACTATATTCTGTGACAGGATATTATTATGATACCAAAACATTTCCATCTGCAGCAGCAAGCTAAGCACACTGAGCCCTCGCTGGTATACACGCTGTGTGTCACTCAGGTCTGCCTGTAGTTTTCCTTTTATCACCCAATGGATTCAACTTCTTTACGCATTTGTGTTGATTTTTTTACTGTAGCAGTGCAGCTCTGGGAGTTGTACCGCCTGCCCCCACGGTTTTGCTTGCAGGTACATGCTAATGCGGACAACGTCACTCAGCCCAGCAGATCTGGGAGCGTTTTTTTTTTTCTGAATCCTTTCGGTCGATGGTAGCTTTCTGTCCCATGCGAGTTTGGAGTTTCCTTCTGATGCAGATTCTGAACAGAAAGAAGATCCTTGTGTTTTACAGTTGGCATGCAGTGGAAGTTTAACGTTGCTGATAAAAAAAAAACTTGTTTTGCAGATGTTACGGCTGCAGTGGGTTTCTGCACTTTTCCTTGCAGGGTTCTGGATGCAGGCCTTCTGCAGGTGATCTGTTTTGCCCTTATTGGTGCTCGTCTGCTTTAAAAGCTGTCATGCAAGCAGCAGACAGGAGGCTTCTCTCTCTTACCTCCTCAAAACCTCGTTTGGTTTGCTTTGGTTTGTATCCTGTCCTATGGTTGGGTTTTGTTAGGTTTGTTTGCATTTGCTTATTTCTGTTTAGTTATTGGTTTTGCATTAAGCCATTTTCTATTCCCCGTTTTATTTATCCCTTTTCAGGTATTGTTTCTTTAGTATAATTTAATAAATTCAATTTTCACTTTAAAGAAAATCCTTGTGTGGTCTCCTTTAATGTTACCCCTGCTAGATCGACTCTAAAGTCGTAGGGAAATCATATTTAAATGTCAAATCATTCTGGCTTAAACATGTATATAAATGTAGCGTTTATCAGACCATATTGACTGTCTTACAGTCTGTGGGTTTTTTTCTTCGTTATCTTCTGCAGGCCAGTTAGTTCTACGTCAGCCTGAACACCTAAATTCGGCCAATCATATATCGACGGTCATCTGTCAATCAAATTTTTTTCGGTCATAGCGTCTAGATTCATATGTCGCAGCTAATATACGCAACGGTTGAAACCAGAATCCTTTCCTTTCCCATTGAGTTGCGTCCCAGTGTTCACGGGGATGGACGTCTGTGTCTTCGGCAGGCGTAGAGCTAACAGAACTGGCAGCGTTGCGAGGCAAGGGCTCAAACATGTACGGCTGGAAGCCTTCTACACCAAACCAAGCTTCTGCCGCCCTGGCGTCCTCTTCCACAACATCTTCGTCCCCGCTTTCCTCCTCTAAATAAAAAATGGATGACGGAGGAGACTCATCCACGACCTCCGACACTAAACTCTCCTCCTCTTGCATGTTTCCGCTGTCCATAGCGTTCCTTGACAGCGTCGTTTCTAAGTCACCAATTTAGTGCTACTTGGTCCCAATGGAATTTCCCATTGGGAACCTGCTAGCACTAAGATGCTAACTGGTTAGCAAGATGCTTGATTCATTTAAAATTTGAATTCCTATTAGGCGCAATACTAGGCAGTTGCCTAGAGCCCCGAATTCCTGGGGGCCCCATAAAACTCTGTTCTCATGTATGGTTAAAACAAATATTCCTTATTTGTGCACATTAATTATGTTTTTGATAAAAATCCTTTGGCTAAAATGCCATCAGAAAGCTGATACTATTAAGTGTGTCTCACCCCCCCCCCTTTCAGTGTCCACCATATTGGATCAGTCCATTTGCTGCACATGTTCAGAAAGGTCCAAACAGACAGCAGCAAACCATTTGAAAACAAACCATGCAAAGAGCAGTGTTGCCAACTTAGCGCTTTAGTCGCTATATTTAGCCACTTTTCAGACCCCTCTAGCACTTTGATTTCTAAAACGCTCCTAGCGCCAAATCTAGAGACTTTTTTTCTGCTACTGGAGACTTTGGAGACAACATCTAAAAGCAGCGAACTCTGCTCTCCAGAGCGAGTAGATTGGTAACCCCGCCTCCTGCTCTCCTCTATCTTGTCTGCTGTCATGATTCATGCAGCTATTATTTCATCCAAATGAAAAATGGAGAACAGATAAGCAGATCATGGCTTGTCTACAGTGAAAAGAAGGACTGGGTTATTTACTTTGGCCTTTTTGGAAACACAGGAAGGAGCAATCAGCTAAGTGAGCTTAGTGCTTGGAAAAAATCTTTCATTCCTTTAGAGACAGCATGAATAGTCAGCTGAGTACAAAACATAGAGAGGAAAACAAGAAGAAAAGGGACAAAAAGAGAGGGACACAACCTAGAACAGATAATGGATGTCTATTCTATTAACATTTCTCTATCTGGAGAATGGCTCTGTTTATGTGTTGTCTTCTAGATTCAGAGGCCCCCTGCCTGTCTTTGACTAGGGCCCCAAATTTCCTAAATCTGCCCCTGGGTGCTGCTACGGCATGAAGGTAGAGCACATAACCCACATACCCGGGACTCAAACCTGTCAACCTGTGACAGGTTCGAGTCCCGGCCCTGCTGAGCTTTGGGAAATGTCTTTCCCCCCAAATTAACCCCCTTTTCTATCTCCATACTATCAAAAACAATAAAATAAAGGCCACTGGATCCTAAAAATAAAGATAAAAAGAAAAGTTTATTTATTTCTAGATGCTTTTTGCAGAGCCGCCACCTAAAAATGACCTTAGGTATTTTCTAGTCGACATTATTTTTAACGACTCTCAGTTTTAATTTATTGTTGCTGAACCTGAAGCTGGTTTTATGCTTCCTTCCATTCTCTAGTTATTTTTTTGTATGTGCAGCTTCTGCTTGTTTAAGGAACAACACTGAGGTGCGAAGCAGGGAGCAAAATCAGCAAAGCAATTTCGTGTCACTTTTTGTATATCAGACAGGAAGAGCGCCTGCTGTGCTTTGAGTGTCATCAAAACGCTTGGCTTGTTTAGTGTTTCCTGATTGTCGGCCTGTTTCTTCATCATCATCATCATCAAACATTTCAGCTGAGCCTTTATTTCTCCTCCCGTCCTTCGGTAGTAGCAGAGGCAGGACCCTCGTTCCCAAGGGTCTTAAAAGAGAATAACTTGACCTCATCCATCTACTCACCCTGACCTTTTCAACACATCAGTAACAAAGGAGAATCACCTTCTGGTTTGTGGAAAACTAAACGCTGCCATCGAAGCAAAAAGGGGAAAACAGAAGCTGCTGCTGATCTCCCCTCAATAAATATTACAATATATGTATGATATCATTGGATATGGATTGTAAAATCAGCATTGAGATTAAATACTGATATTGGCCCAGTTTTTCCATCTAACTGCATCCTCATGCTGTATTCACACCGGAAGCTGTTTGAGGAGCAAAAAGCTTCTGCTGCTTCATTTTTCATGCTTGTCCACATTAAGGTCAGACGTCCAGTAAAGTGAGATGGTGCTCCTGTGAACCGCCGGTATGTGGGGTCTGAGCGGCTCCCACAGAGAAATAATCTTTGAAGGCAGGATGGTAATCTGGATGAACTGACTGCACAGACCATGTTTTCAGGAGGACTTTCTCACTTCAACATAGATTCTAACTACTTTTTACCCGCTGATCACAGCTAATATAGCAAAGCTGCTCTGGCATTGAACACAGGAGCAGCAGACACATAACTATAAAGCTTCTAGTTAGAGCGGCTCAGGTTATCCTGAGCTATCTCTATAGTTCTGCTGCTATAGGCTTAGACTGCTGGAGGACATAGGGACCCCTTTTTCATCATTCTGCTTCATTCTATCTCTATTCTCCTATTCTGCAGAATCTGTTAGTTCAATCTCTAACGTTCTGCTCTCTCTGCTTTTTCTCATAGTAGCTTCATCTGGCCTGTTCCTGTTTGGCTGTGACTCCATTTCTAGACATCCATCCTACCGTGACCCCCAGTTCATGTTAAGGCGTGTACAATGTTGTGTAAATATTGGTTAAAACTCCTGTAATTGGACCGTTTGAGCGTTTTGTTTTCTTTTTGTCTTCTTGCAGGTAAACAGATGTTACTTTGGTAAAAGGGTGCTGCCTTATTTTAGGAAATTTTTTAAAAATCATTTTAACTTTATGTTCAAAGAGAGTTTTTCCTCTCCACTGTCGCTACAAGCATGCTTAGTGTGAGGGATTGCTGGAGAGTCAATGAGTCGATGCAATCAGCTGGTTTTCCTTAGATAGAAAACTTTAAATCAATCTGACTGGATGATCTGGTGAACTGGAGATTACTTGTGATGTGAATTGGCGCTATAGAAATAAACTGACTTGAATTGAATCTGGATACACTTTACTGGACGTCTGACCTTAATGCGGACAAGCATCAAAAATGAAGCAGCAGACGTTTTCTTGTTGCTGAAATCGCATGCGGTGTGAACGTAGCGTAAGAACTATAATTTTTATGTTACATTTTTTTTCAAATTTCCATTTAGTGAACATGTTCTTTGGAACAATAATGTAACCAAATTTACTCCATATGGGATGGTCTAACTCCCCTCCTCATAACTGAAAGTTTTTGCCATCCCTCAACCAGACGGGTTATTTCAGGTCTCTCCCAAAACCCCAGAAGATATAAGCACTTGGAACAAATGACAAACTGAGAAAGGATGATTAAAATGTTCATTGTGTGCTTAATTGCTCTTCTCTATCCCAACAGACCAAATCTGGAATTGCTTTGCTCTACAACCAGGAGAGCAGCAACACCTACGACGTCTGCCTCAAACTCACCAAAGACACGTTAACCATTCAGAAGCTGGATGTGGTCTGCACAAACGGAAGCCAATCCCAAGTAAACGTAAGTACAGACGAGCGCTCCGGAGCCGCATTAACTCATACTGCATGGCTCTACAATCTGTTCACTAAAATCCATTTTGCCAATAAAAAACTCCCCCTTTCTAAAGCACAGAACTGTTGTACTGCGAAGACAGGCGACCGGCGGCCTGGGCTTAAGCATCAAAGTAAGCAGATAAGATTTCCTTATGTGTTGAAAAGAAGAAGGCTTTGGATGAACTAGTTTCAAAACACAACAACAAAAGAACATCCTCTTCCTTCTTGTTTTGCATTTGCAGGGCGGGGCATGGATAGTGCGGGCCGGTGGGTGGGGGATTTCAGTGGGGCATGATATTGGGGGGTTAGTTTTGGGGGGGGAGGTTTTGTGGTGTGGGCTGTGGAATGGGTGGGATCATTAGTACACATGGACGGCATTTTAGGTGATGATCTGAATGCCATGCATGAACTGCAATGAATGAATGAATGATGAATGCCAAGCCTGAATGAATGAATGAATGAAGGAATGAATGAATGATGAATGAATGATGAATGAATGAATGAATGATGAATCGAGAATGAATGATGAATGAATGAATGAATGAATGAATGAATGAATGAATGACATGAATGATTGATGAATGAATGAATGATGAATGAATGAATGAATGCGATGACAATGCATGAAGGATGAATGAATGAATTGCATGATGCATGAATGAACTGAATGAATGATGATGACATGCATGAATGAATGCTGCATGCCATGATGCTCGAATGATCGAATACATGCAATGCATCCATCATCCATCCATCCATCATCCATCCATCATCCTGCATCCATCCTCATTCCATCATCATGACATCAATCCATCATCGATCAATCATCCGCATGCATACATCCATCCATCCATCACATCCATCCATCCATCCATCCATCCATCCATCCATCCATCCATCCATCCATCCATCCTTCCATCCATCCATCCATCCATCATCCATCCATCCATCCATCCATCCATCATCCATCCATCCTTCCATCCATCCATCCATCATCCATCCATCCATCCATCCATCCATCCATCCATCATCCATCCATCATCCATCCATCCATCCATCCATCCATCATCCATCCATCCATCCATCATCCATCCATCCATCCATCCATCCATCATCCATCCATCCATCCATCCATCCATCCATCCATCCATCCATCCATCCATCCATCCATCCATCCATCATCCATCCATCCATCCATCCATCCATCATCCATCCATCATCCATCCATCCTTCCATCCATCCATCCATCATCCATCCATCCATCCATCCATCATCCATCCATCATCCATCCATCCATCCATCCATCCATCCATCCATCCATCCTTCCATCCATCCATCCATCCATCATCCATCCATCCATCCATCCATCCATCATCCATCCATCCTTCCATCCATCCATCCATCATCCATCCATCCATCCATCCATCCATCCATCCATCATCCATCCATCATCCATCCATCCATCCATCCATCCATCATCCATCCATCCATCCATCCATCCATCCATCCATCCATCATCCATCCATCCATCCATCCATCCATCCATCCATCCATCCATCCATCCATCCATCCATCCATCATCCATCCATCATCCATCCATCCATCATCCATCATCATCCATCCATCCATCCATCATCCATCCATCCATCCATCCATCCATCCATCCATCCATCCATCCATCATCCATCCATCCATCCATGCATCCATCCATCATCCATCCATCCATCCATCCATCCATCCATCCATCCATCCATCCATCCATCCATCCATCCATCCATCATCCATCCATCCATCCATCCATCCATCCATCCATCCATCCATCCATCATCCATCATCCATCCATCCATCCATCCATCCATCATCCATCCATCCATCCATCCATCATCCATCCATCCATCCATCCATCCATCATCCATCATCCATCCATCCATCCATCCATCATCCATCCATCCATCCATCCATCCATCCATCCATCCATCCATCCATCCATCCATCATCCATCATCCATCCATCCATCCATCCATCCATCCATCATCCATCCATCATCCATCCATCCATCCTCCATCCATCCATCATCCATCCATCCATCCATCCATCCATCCATCCATCATCCATCCATCATCCATCCATCCATCCATCCATCCATCCATCCTCCATCCATCCATCATCCATCCATCCATCCATCATCCATCCATCCATCCATCCATCCATCATCCATCCATCCATCCATCCATCCATCCATCCATCCATCCATCCATCCATCCATCCATCCATCCTCCATCCATCCATCCATCCATCCATCCATCCATCCATCCATCATCCATCCATCCATCCATCCATCCATCCATCCATCATCCATCCATCCATCCATCCATCCATCCATCCATCCATCCATCCATCATCCATCATCCATCCATCCATCCATCATCCATCATCCATCCATCCATCCATCATCCATCCATCCATCCATCCATCATCCATCCATCCATCCATCCATCCATCCATCCATCCATCCATCCATCCATCCATCCATCCATCCATCATCCATCCATCCATCCATCCATCATCCATCCATCCATCCATCCATCCATCCATCCATCCATCCATCATCCATCCATCCATCCATCCATCATCCATCCATCCATCCATCCATCCATCCATCCATCGTCCGTCCGTCCGTCCGTCCGTCCATCCTCCCTCCCTCTTATCCGGGGTTGGGTTGCGGGGGTAGCAGCTTCAGTAGGGAGGCCCAGACGTCCCTCTCCCCAGCCAATAAGGCCAGCTCCTCCGGGGGAACCCCAAGGCGCTCCCAGGCCAGCTGAGAAACATAGTGCGTGTCCTGGGCCTCCTCCGGGTGGGACGTCCCTTTTTGGCTCAGCTCTCTCTTCACCACTGCAGACCAATACAGCGCACGCTTCACAGCAGACGCCGCACCAATCCGCCTATCGATCTCCCGCTCCATCTTCCCCTCATTCGTGAACAAGACCCCAAGATACTTAAACTCCTCCACTAGGGGCAGCACATCCTCCCCAACCTGGAGAAGGCACTCTACCCTTTTCCGGCTCCAGACCATGGTCTTGAATTTGGAGGCACTGATCCTCATCCCGACTGCTTCACACTCGGCTGTGAACCGCTCCAGTGAGAGCTGCAGATCACGCCCTGATGAAGCCAACAAAACCACATCATCTGCAAATAACAGAGACGCAACCCTAAGGCCACCAAGACAGTCTTATATTTTAGCAAAGTAAAAATGAACCTCCAGTTATAACCTGTTTGATGATGAATGGGTGTAAAATGCTGCGAGACATATCAGACTGATATTCCTGATGGACGGACAGAAGATGAACTGGTATACATCATAGGATCTGATGATCTTTCTTCCAGTCAGATGGGAGCCAGTAGTATTTCTCTTTTCATCTTCTTCTCTCCTAAGAGAAGCAGGCGGATCGGAGCGTCCTATCGTTCCCCCCAACTCTGCTGAGAATGGCTTTATGCCCGGATTAGTTTCAGATTTCATGCTCTCCCGTGTCGAGTCGCCCAGCTTTAGGATGTTGTCTGAGATTAGCCAGACGGAGACACTGATTGTCATTTCCACCACATTACCATGCATGAAATGAGCAATTATTTAGTAACGTTTTCATTAACATCTGACAATTGATGCCCGCAGCCGATCAGACGGGGAAGCTGTTCGTCGGGGACGCCGTCCTGCAGGTGGGTGCATCACTTCCTGTCTCACTGCTCATAGGCAATTTCTGCATGTTAATGTCAGCAAAAGGTCATCAGGACTGAGTAGAAGAGGGGATATTATGACATCTGAGCAGGATAATGTGTAATAAATGTTAGGGTTTTGTTTCTCAAACTTTCGCAGGCTATATTTTGGGTTATTTAGCCTGAAAGGAGACAAAAAATGGAGGATTATCTTTCACAGTTGTTTCATCACTGCATCCTTCAGTGTCTTTAACAGTCTTTAATATTTATTTCTCTGTCTTTGTATTTTTTTAATGGTTTCATTTGGCATTTTGACTTTGTTTCTACCATTGTGTTTTTATGGTTTGTACGGTAACCTTGAATGTCCAGAAAGACGCCTTTGAAATAAAATGTATTATTATTAGGGCTGCAACCAGTGGCGGCCGGCCCATAGGGGGCGCTGGGGCACCGCCCTCCCTGATAAGAAGAGAGAAACGTAAAATATATTTTTAGAAATTAACTCATAAATGTCAGTTTTACTCTCTAGAGTGTGTACCTATAAGCAAAACAAATTATATAAACTACATTTCCCTATCTACTGTCATTCATTTGTGGATTTCCACAGACAGACTCCTACCGTCTCTGTTCTGGGGGCGCTGATCAGACTGACCCACATTTGCAGAGAATCTGCCAATCATGTACTATTGCTAGGTGAATTTAATGGCCAATCAGCGTCTCGGAACTTTATGGTCTTGGGGCGCTGAAAATACTGCGCTTTAACAGGCTTCTGAACCCAAGCGCAGGTGCAGACAATTAGAGGGAAGATGGCGAATGTAACGAACGAGATGCAGCTTCCACCAAATTCGGTGAGATCCTTATTTATCTACCCGTTTGCCAGAAGAACATCCCTGTTGTTCAATTTCATGTCATGGTTATTGTGACTGTGACGAATCCACATCCTCTAACTTTGCACGCCACACACACATTCCTGTTATACTGTGTTTGTGAGGACCAATACACTCGCGCTGAGACCAGTAGCTCCATTAACTTAAAACACACAAGCTGTTCCTGGTTACCTGCTGGCGTATTGAGGGTGCACACTTAATATTTCAGTGGGGTTAGCCGTGTGTGTGTGTGTGTGTGTGTGTGTGTGTGTGTGTGTGTGTGTGTGTGTGTGTGTGTGTGTGTGTGTGTACGTGTTTATGCTACGGGGACTTGTCATCTTCAGTCTGGCTGCGTCTTTGCTGGGTTCAAACCCAGTTTGGTGTAATTGAATAAGTCAATGAATCTGTGTAAAAGAATTAAGTTTTTGTACATCAATTGTTTTTGGAGGTAATATATGGACAAAACTGATTAATGAGAAGAAATCAGAAATAAGAGAGCCTGAGGGTAGGGGCTTAAACTATTTAATGAGGGCTGTGGGAAGAAAAGCGGCAATTTTTGTTTTCTGTTTCTTTGTTCCATTGCTGGTAACTGGAGGGAGGCTGAGGCCCAGAGGATCTTGTACATGTTTAGTTTCTTTTGCACCCTGTTTTGAGTTTTTGAGCACAATAAATCACCAACACCGGTAACCCGACTGAGCCTGGATTCTTGGAGGCCAAAGAACCCCGTCACAGTGACCCAAATCATCACTGTTACTGTTATTATATAGTAAATTAAATCATTACTGTTAAATTGTATTTCATTTGCAATTGTTTATTTGAATTCTTATTCCGGATTAGTTGGAGACATAAACTAGGCTATATCAGCCCCACCAAAAATATTTTTCACCAGCCGCCACTGGCTGCAGCTAACGATTATTTTAAAAATCGATGAATAGGCCGATTATTTTTTCGATTAATCGATGAATCGGATAAAAAATATTTTTTATACTAACCTCTTTATTCCAAAATAAACATTTTAGACAGAACAAACAAGCACACAGGTACAGGTTGCTCATTAACTGTACTGGGGCAATATGAAAAATAAATGTTTGTGTTAAAACTACGCAAACTTACATGAGAAATGTAGCTGTACATCCACACAATATAGGCTACTTTGTTTCATAAAGCGCAAAAAATGACATTTTTGTTTTTAAAAGCCCCTAAGGGGTTCAAACAATAGGCCCCCCCATTTCAACAAATGAGGTTTTTTTTAGACCAGAGAGTTCTGCCTTTTAAGACAGGAAAGTATAGCAGTTAAAGTTGCTATTTGAGAAAATACTGAACCATAGAGATAAAAATAGCCCTGTGATTCAAATTATAAATTGTATTTGGAATAAAAATGAGAGAACTAGGGGTGCTAAAAAACACATCCTCCAAAGACAGATATTTACATGGGAATGTGGCAGATAATTAATTGACATATTACTGATCTTGCTGGATTTTATTCTGCTTTACTTCCATAAATTGCAGGATCTTCTTTACTTTATCTTTGCCAGAAGATTTAAACTTTAAAAGCCTTGCCCTCATAATTTGCAAGTTAATTTATTTATAAAGAAAATATAAACGCTGCTTAAGCTAATTCAAATGAAATTAAAAGTAAAATAAGTAGCCAACCTTATCACTGTCTGTAACCTACTAACACGGTAAGGAAAGCATCAGATGAGCTACCTGAGAAACTAACGTTACGTTTCCCCACTTTAAAACCGAACAAACATGGCCGCTCACCCTGCTGATCAGCTCTCTTCACTGCCATCGAAGGCTCCAACGTGTTTTCTTTTCAGGTGCTGCATCATAACAGTGGTGCTTCCGTGCCATGTTCATTTGTTTTTACAAAAGTTGCATGTTACGACTTTTTTCGCTTTACGAAGCGCAGGCTATTTTAATTATTGTGATCAATTTGCGCCGTCAATCCCGGCGCATGCGCGCTTCATTTGCAGTCTGGACGCTGAGGGTAAACATCCTCTGACTGCAGCGCTGAGAGGGACTCCTGTGGGAGCGGAGTTGGGATGGGGGAGGCGCCTCACGGCAATGACGACGACGGCGGCGGATGACGAATTAATCGCGCGACACAACTAATCGATGATGAAATTCGTTGCCAACGCTTTTAAAAGTCGATTTTTATCGATTTTATCGATTCGTTGTTGCAGCCCTAATTATTATTATTAAAATGAGAAATGTTTGATTTTCAGTCGGCCGTCGTAAGGTGGTCATGGGCAAATCTCTTAGTGGGCAAACAAGGATTCTTCTTCTTCCTCTCAGAGGGAAACCCAGCAGCATGGCGGGGGTGCAATGAGTGAAATGGAGTTCTTTCTGTCAAACTGACAGACCGTAGTAGCCACGTTAGCTCAGCCATGTCTTTGTCCAAATACGTCGTCTCCTTTTCTTTTTAGGGCTTTCAGCACTAAATTGTCCAAATATCCAAGGCAGCGCGTTTCACTCTAGTGAGCTTCATGTTCCTCTTCTACTGGTTCGGCTTCCAGATAGACGAGTCCGAGTAGCGCCATCTCACTGCGGAGCTGAGTCCCACCTGGTTTTTAGACGTACAGTGAGAGCAGGTAGATCACATCAGAGCGTCGGGTCGCACAGCGTGTGAACAAACATCGTGAGCTGTGAACTTTTAAGCTCTGCGGTTTCATCGTACAGTGTGAGCTGTAGCTGCGTGCAACAATTAAAGAAAATATACAGTGTGTTCCCGCCTTATAGTTGGAGTAAGAGATCTTTTCGGACGCATTTCTTACCATGTGGGTTGCAGATCTCCCCACAGTCATGTAGCAAAAAGTGAAATAGGTCTGGAAGTGAAACAAAAAAAAATGGTTCCCGCTACAGTGTGAAATCAGAAAACACGGTTCGTGGTCCACTATTGGTTCCTGACATGCCAATCAGGGTCGTCTGCTTGTCCCTCCCCTCATGCATGTACCCTGACACATGAATCGGCCCCCCAGTGCTCATGCAGGCGCGAGGACCAGTGACAGTCTAGTTTACATCTACTATCAATATTTCTGAAGTTGCATCCGTTGCAGCCTGTTTACGTTCATTTAGATGGTGAACAATCTTACCGTAGATGGAAAGGAGGGCGCCATGGCTGGAAGCTAGCCACTGTTATGTTGTCGTTAGCCCGTGTCTCGAGCGCTAGGTCTCGGCTTGTTACGTTCTGGATCTTGGAAACATCTGAACACCTCGACAGGCAGCATGCGCGTTCATGTGTTTTAAAGGCGTGGTTTCGTTGAGCGGTCTGAAGGGAGAGGCATGGTTGTGTATGTTCAAAAATATAGCTTACCGGAACCATTTTTCCAGGATCTCCTACTGCACCTTTAACCTAGTGTAATAATTCATTTGGATCTGGCTCAGACCTAAACTTTAACTTCAAATTAAATATTTAGTTTTTATGCCTGATAGATATTTAATTAACAAGTTAAATATTGTAAAAAATGTGAATGATATGGTGATAAATATGACTTGAAAAAAACATTTTTTTTTATGTGTGGTCGGATGTATTTTATTTTTGATAACTGTTTTTTTTATTTAACACAGAAAACAGTGAATTTTCTTTCTGAAGAAACTAACATTTATTAGTAATATAATCTTTAATTACTGTCTGGAAACCCTTCAGTATTTATTTGCTTCGGTTCATGAGCAGCTTTTTTATCAGATGGATGCTGTTTATCTCCAGGATCAGATGGAATCAGCAGACCAATATTAATATTCATGCTGGAAGTGATTGTGAATCTGCTTTGTGAGGCGTTTATTTGCAGAGGATCTGAACGGTCACACAGCAGAATATTACAACCATCTGCATACAAGCTGTGCAGCAGCGGCCTATTCTGCAGATTCTAATGAGAAGGTTCAGCTGGAACAGATGAAAATATGATCCAATAGGTCAAAACATTTCTAATATGCAACTAATTTACACAAAAACAGGATTTTGGTCTTTCTGAATTTCTAATTTGAATTTGAGTTTTCTGAGGAGGCTGTGGATCAATTCAGTTTAAGTCAGTTTATTTCTATAGCGCCAATTCACAACACGTGTTATCTCAAGACACTTTCCAGTTCACCAGATCATCCAGTCAGATTGATTCAAAGTTTTCTATCTAAGGAAAACCAGCTGATTGCATCAACTTATTGACTCTTCAGCAATCCCTCACACTAAGAATGCTTATAGCGACAGTGGAGAGGAAAAACTCCCTTTGAACAGGAAGAAACCTCCAGCAGAACCAGGCTCAGTGTGAGCGGCCATCTGCTGAGGCCCACTGGGGTTCAAGGAGACAGAAGCAGACATAGAAAAAGAAGCACAGATACAAAAGGCAACTGTCCTTAAAAAAAAAAAAAAAGCCCCACAGGGTGAGTATCCTGCATTAGCATTAGCTGATCTGGCAGCTGGTCAGCAAACAGTAGAAGGAGAGCAGGTGAGCATGAGGGTGCCGCTTACTGGCAGGGAGGAGTTTAAGATCGTAGCTATCACAAATAGAGGGAAAAGAAAGCATCAACTGCTAAAAGTGCTGCAGGATCGGTGAAAACATGCATGGATGGACTGACAGGCATAAAAAAGCCCCGATTTATCAGCCTGTCTGTAGTTTAAACATCTGAACAGGGTCTGACGCCATGATGACTCCAACAAATGATCAGACGCTGCTTTGTTTTTCTCCTGTAGGTTAATGGCATTAATGTGGAGAACTGCACGCACCAGGAAGTAGTAAGTATGTTTAAAACGTTAAAAATAACGAACTCAGCAGCTTTAATCTGCACTTAAAAAATGAAATTTACAGAAGCCCCTAAAGAGACACTAAAGAGGAAAAAAAACAACTTGACTTTCTTATTTGCACCAATTATACTTTCTCATATCAGATGGACCTCTTCTTTTTTTTTTTTTTCATTTAATCGATTTTCCAGACATTTTGTAAACATCTTTATGCGTTCAGTTGAACAGTCGTTTGCAGTTGTGTTTGAATAAATGTCCAACATAATCAAGGTTTGTGTTTCCTTTGTGCTGAAATAGACAACAGGACTTCAGGATACCTTTTAAAGCTATAGATTCCGGGTTGGATCATCGGACGGATCATCTCAATCAGTGGTCCTCCTAACTGTCAATCATTCTGGTGATATGTTTACGTAAGGACCTCCTACGTGTTCGTCCCGTTAGCGATCTTTTTCACTTTCAGGCATATGTCTGTGGTGAGCTGCGGTTTCCGTCATTGAAGCTCACCTTTCTCACCGCGGTTCTCTGAAAATGCCCATAATAGAAAAAGTCTACGAAGTGTATGAGAAGAAAAGAAAGGCCTCAGAAGAGCCAGATATATCCCAGAATGCTTTGCGCAGAGAGCTCTCCTCGCAAAGCATTATGGGATTTGCTGTCACAGCAGCCCGCTGTAGCCATAGGCTGTCGCTACCCGACAGCGATGACTAATAACAGAGATGGCGCAGGCACCGCATGGTGGACCAACAGGGAAGTGATCATCTGTCCGCACGGTCAGTTAACTGAGTTCTCTATAAAGTTCACTATATAGTCTACATAGTGATGGAGGGATTTAGGGGGTGAGGGTGGAAGTTCGGACACAGTAAGCTGATATAAGCTATGAGAACCGCTTTTAAACAACTTAAAAAAAAGAAAAAAAACTTTTTTTTAAAGTGGAGAGAATCTCAAAGAAAATCCTCCACAATACCTTTAAGTGACGTTCAGACAAAACATAATGGTGACGTCTTGAAAGTAATGCAGGAATATCTTTGAATGGTAGCCCAAACTGAAAATATAGACTAATAAGTTCATGTTCATCCGTTTTAGAGAACAAAGTTGTCCGAAATACTCGATCATGTGAGAAAGTATCTGGTGCACACAAGATACTTTTTTTTCTTCTCTTTTCAGTGTCACTTTAGGGGCTCAGTAGAAATGACAGTGTATGGAGTGAATTTTGCTTCATTATTATTGCAAGCAAAGAACACATTTTTTATATGAAAATTTAAAAAACAATATGCAATGCAGTTATTAAAGGTAACATTTTTTGAAAAGACACGACCTCTCCACTTAAAAGAAAATGCAAACGCACAACCCTGTGTCCTTTTAAACACATGCGAGAGCGTGTACGAGCCCATTTCTCCTCATGCACGCTTTGTTTAAAAGTTGCTGCTTTTTTCTAAAGATTTGCAATTTTTCTACTACGTCAGACTCACCACCAGTACGTGAAAATGAAATGCGGAGGAGCACGTAGGACAGCCATATGTACACATATCACCAGAATGATTGACAGTTAGGAGGACCAATTATTTTGATGATCCACCTGGAAAAAGACCACTATACCTTCAGGAGGTGAAAATCTTACATATTTTGGGACTAACTTTGTTTCATTTCTTGATTGCATTTTTTTCTTTCACATTTACAAACCAATAATGCAACAATAATGGAACAAAGTTTGCTCCATAACAGCGGATCATTTGAAGAAATCGATATGAATGTCATAAATTCCTTCCTCTGTGATCAGCATCGTGCTAAATCATGTTAGAAACGCAGCGGCTGTTGGCCTCATGTCTGTCGACGTCTTTAGTTTGTCTCGCTGCTCTCCATCTTATCGTCTGGCATCCCCCCACCCAAACTCTGCAGGCCGAATAGTGGTTCTTATATGGCAGGCCATTTTGATATTTACTGAATATGTAATCCAGATGTCTCAAATGCATTTCTTCCTAGTCAAAACAAACATTTCAGATATCTAAAACAACATTCTTCCTCTCTAAAAATTAATTCTGACGAGCATGAACTCTAATTCCAGATCTCCATAATAGAGTTATTGTTAGTCACAATTATTATTTCTAATATCAAAAATGAACATAACATTACAGATATCCAGAAATCCAATTCGTGACATCAAAAATATATTTCTGCTTGTAGAAATACAACAATAGATATCAACTACTTATTTTATGACTAGTTAAATTAGAATTCCAGATATCTCAATTTTAATAATGCCTTTCTTAAATAAAGTTTTAGATACTTGCAAAATAATAATGAGGCTCAGTTTTAACATAAAATAAGATGGCTGACTAATCAGATTTCTATTATAGAGATAGCACTAAAGCAGTCTTCCTAGTCACAATTACAATCAAGCATTAAATTTTAAGGACTCTGGAGTCAAATTTGTACTAGTAAGAACTACATTTCAGATATCTTAAAATCTTTACTTATTTAAAGTGGCCATTTTAACATACTTATTCTTACTGTACAAGTTTATTTTTGGCATCCTGAAATAAAACTTTTGCTGGCGAAAATATTTAGTATATCTATATGTACAGTTCTGACTAGTAGGAATGTATTTTAGACCAGGAAGAATCATATTTAAAAGATCAACAGTAGAGGGGGACAGCTCAACGGCCTGGCATAGTTCTCACTACACTCACCTCCTGTGTGTCAAAACACAGAATGAGGAGTTTTCTCGTAGAAGCAGATGTTCTGTCAGACCAGCATACCTGTAGTCAATACTTGTTTATCCCTTTAGTTTTGTATGAAAAATAGACTTTAAACTACCTCAACGGGCGTGTTTCCCTATAGTCATGTACAAAAAAAATAATGTAATTACTTACTGTTTGGTGTTTTATTAAACGTATGGCGATCTGACCTTAAATTGTTGTTTTTTGTATATGAATAAAGGGATATACGCCCTTTGAGGTGGATTAAAGTCTATTTTTCAAACAAAACTAAAGGGATAAAGGAAAATCTGACGTCTTTTGCATGTGTATTGACTATAGGTATGCTGATCTGACAGAACACCGGTCATGGCATGCTAATGGGCGCCTGGCAGCTCTATGGACCGTCAGGCGGGCGGACCGCTGCCTTTTATGTTCAGGAATAACTTTCAGAGGCTTGTTTGTTTCTTTGTTCTGGACGACCAAACTTAGCTGGTTGAAGTGAAAATGGCTCCACGCTGCTGTCTGATTCAGACTTCCACCCCCTCCCTGTATCTGAACCAATCTGCCTCTGCTGTCAGGTTCACCTCCTGCGGACCGCAGGTGATGAGGTCACCATCACCGTTCGCTACCTGAGAGAAGTCCCATCCTTCCTGAAACTGCCTCTGGGTAAGAGTCTGATCACTACTCCTCTTCCTCTCCTTCATCTTCCTCCCCCTCCACCACTGTAGAGGGAAAACATATATCATTCAATAAATAAATAGCACATAAATTTACAATAAATTAAATAAATGTACCATGAATTAAGTGGAAGTAATATTTATTTATTAATCTAATGAATGATTCAAATAGGAAAAATACCTTAAAGTTAAAAAATGGAGTCTAATTATTTTTTGTCTCATTAAAAACTTTGAAAACTGATTTAAAATTATGAATTAAATCTAATTTGTTTATGTAAAAATGCACAATTTGACATTGTAACATTAAGTAACTGTATTTTTTTATGACCTTTGCTTATTCCATTTATCATTTTTAAAGTAATTATATTTTCTTTATTTTGAACATAATCATTTAAATGGGAATGTTACTATTTGAGGTCCCCTTTTTTTGTTCAACATGTTAATTATTGTTATTCAATCAAAGATTATTTCTCTGTGGGAGCCGCTCAGACCCCCACATACCGGCGCTGCGCTGTCACTGGGAATCCCCAGCAGCAGCTGCCTCAGGCCCGCTCGTTTTCCCCTCCTGTTGGTGGCGGCTGGAAGTAAATTATGCATTTTTCATGTACGTAATACAAACTGTGGAGGATAAAAAGTGCCAAAATTAAATAAATAAATACAGCATTAAATAAATAATTAAATGTGTCAATAATTAATTAAATGTGGCATTAAATAAATAAATGTGTCATTCATTAATTAAAACCACGTCACTAATATAAAGTGCCACAATTAAATAAATAAATACAGCGATAAACAATTAATTAAATGTGTAATTCATTAAATAAATAAGGAATTAAATATATAAATGTGTCATTAATTTAATAAAATACATCTTCATTTTATTAAAAATATATATATAATTATTTCAGTGTGCATTTAATTATTTCATGGTCCTGTGTCGCAGTGCATAGAAACCATTAAAAGAATCTGTCAAACTCACCCATCAAAGTTAGGGGGCGGTTATCTAACACCTGATTGGTCGCCCTGCACATTAAGGCAAAGCAAATCGATTACAGAGACTCGATTCGCGTTAACCCCGCCCCCTAACTTTGATGGGTGAGTTTGACAGATTCTTTTAATGGTTTCGATGCACTGCGACACAGGACCATGAAATAATTAAATGCACACTGAAATAATTATATATATATTTTTTAATAAATTGAAGACGTATTTTATTAAATTAATGACACATTTATATATTGAATTCCTTATTTATTTAATGAATTACACATATAATTATTTATTTAATGCTGTATTTATTTATTTCATTTTGGCACAAACTGCAGGCAGCACGATAATAAAAGCAAACATATTTTGCCAACAGGTTTCCACATTTTAAGTTAATTTAGTGTTTCAGAGGAGTGATCATAGCGCTCTGCATCAGCAGTGCTGTGTCTGACTCCCTGCCAGCTCCCAGATCAGCTTCTCTGATTGGTTGATGAGGCATTACATTTGTCCAACTCCAGCATCTACTTCTTCTGAAACGCGTCACACGCCTCAATGCTCTCGATGCTCAGAAGCTGATGAGGCACCGCTCCTGCTGCGCGTCTGATGCGCCTTGATGCGCGTCAACCATTGAGTTTGCATGTAAACTATCTGCGTCTTCTGCTTGAATCACATCCTGTTTGAATGTAGCATAGAGTATGTAGGCGGTGTTTTAGTGATGAGCTGGTTGGATTGTTTTAATAACCATACTGGTAGAAAAAGAGAATTGCTATAAAGTTACTGCAAATGCGGCCAAAATTTTGTTGTTATTTTAGTCAAATTTTCATAAATTCCTCTCCATTTGTTTCTGTCATTGTTTTCTCCCTCAGGTTCTCCTGGACTGGACCACAGTCGTGTTTCCTCTCCGCTGTTCGACAGCGGCTTACATTTAAATGGAAACGGAAGCAACACAGTAAGAAACGTCTCCTTGTTGATCTATGCTGCAGGGATCCTGTTTGCTAAAAGGCAGATGCAACCTGCCAGGGTTTGGCTGGAGTCTGGATAATTCAGTTTTTTTATATAGACACATGTCATCTCAGGTCACTTTACAGAGACAATTCAACCAGATCATCCAGTCAGATTGATTCAAAGTTTTCTATCTAAGAAAAACCAGCTAATTGCATCGACACATTAACTTGAAGGCAATCCCTTACACTAAGCATGCTTGTGGCTACAGTGGAGAGGAAAAACTCCCTTTTAACAGGAAGTTAAAATGATTTTTTTTTTTAAATCTCCTAAAATAAGGCAGCACCATTTTACCAAAGTAGCATCCGCTTACCTGCAAGAAGACAAAAAAGAAAACAAAACACTAAAACGGTCCAATTTCAGGAGTTAAGACCAATATTTGCACAACATTGTACACGCCTGAATATGAGCTGGGTGTCACGATAGGATGGAGGTTTTTGAGGATCCAAATGCAGAGATCAGGAGGCAGAGGAGAGTCTTGAAGATTTAATAAAGCAAAAGAGGTTAAAAGCCAAAGTACAAAAATACAGAGAACCAAAAAAACATCAGAGGAAAACTGAGGTGGAGAGCCAGAGATGAGGAAGCAAAAACAACAACAAGGAACCAGCACTGAGTGACTGCAGAGGTGGAGTATATAAAGGGAACAGAACAAAGGATGGACTGATGAATATGAGCTAAATATGGAGCAGATGTGAGTGGAACTAACTAGAAGGAAGCCAAGGGGAAAGAAAACAAGCACAAGGGGGCAGCAGAGAGTAACTAAAGACTGCTTAAATGTAACGGAAAACGAACCAAAGATCATTAAAACAGAATAACTAGCAACTCAGAGTCCCAAAAGGGGAGAACTATAACACTGCCAGGGATAGATGGATGGATGGATTGTTAGAGGGAACCATATTAAAATATATTTAATTGTTTGTCGAACAAAACAAACTCAATACCACTTAAAAAATCTAAATAAAAAGGAGCAGAACAAAGAAAAGTCTGCTATCTGCCCCTTCACACAAATAGATGAATTATAGTGTGTGGACTTGGCCAAATACCTACAAATCGCTTAGCGTAGCCTAGCTTAGCCTTATAAAGCATGGACAGTGAGCAGAAGGATGCTTATGGTTTTTCCATGGATAGATCATTTTAAGTGGATAATTATTTACTCTGCTTATAACGAGACGTTGAGGAAGCCATTGCAGAGCCCAGTGGGCTGCATCAGGTCGAGCCGGCGACTCCGAGATGCGGACACCGGTGTTCTGTCAGCTCAGCATACCCCGTCAGACCAGCATACCCTTAGTAATACACATGAGCGCGTGATCGTCATTAGCGGTTATCAGTCCCATTAAATGTCTTCAGATTGTGCCAGTAGACTGTTATCACCGAGTGAATCCTAACCCTGAATTAATTCTTTTTCCACCGTGGAGTTATATAATCTATTAAAGTGTATTCTCATAATAATTCAGTAGTCCTTGCATGTACTGTAAAATTAAATAAAAAAAAATAAATGATCTGCATGTTGCTCATATTAAAAAAACTAAAAACAAATAAATCTCATATCCTGTCAACTGAGTTGTAGAATCCTCTCCCTATAAATATTGAATTCTCTGTGAAATAATGCCGATCATTCTTCAATAAGATTCTCGTCAAACGGACATGCAAAGGCTAAAGTGTGTATTGGACCTAGTGAATGACTTTTTTGTTTTTTTATCCACAAAACTACGACAAAAACCGGACTAAATCGGGAAATAAAACGGCGTGATTGGCTGTAAGGAGAGCGGAGACAGATGAAACTATGTAATGCGTATTAATAAGGGTATGCTGGCCTGACGCTGTATGCTGAGCTGACGGCTCCACTTCCTCACTACAGTCACCGATTCTGGCTCTCCCTAAAATATAGGTGCCCTATGATGCGCCGTTTGTAAAGTTAAGCAGTCAAATATTAGGAGCAATATTTATGGTTATTTAGCGTCTTTTAAGAGAAAAATAAGGAGGTAATTTTTTTCACTATGTCATTCATTCATTTATAAAAATTATTATTAAATAAATATTTCTGACATTTTCACTGCAAAAAACGGAAATCTAATTAAGCAATTCTTACATAAAATAAGTGCATTTTTTCTCCATTTCAGTACGAAAGTGAGACACTTTCCCAATGGAACAAGACAATTAACATTTAAAATAAGAAAAAGCAATTGCATTGTCTTATTTCAAGTGCATATTATCTAATCATCTTATTTTAAGAGTAAAGATACTAATTTCATTGGCAAATCATCGTATTTACAAACTCAAATTAAGGGTAAATACACTTAATTTAAGACATTTTTACTTATTTCTAGATCATTTTTGCAGTGTTGAATTGAAAAAGCTTCCTGAATGGGAAGCAAAACATCTTCATACTTGGAAACCAAATCCAGTGGATTGTTTTGTTTACTTTTTTTGAATGACTATTAAGGATGCATGATATAATCGGCCCTCTATCGGTATCGGCCTTAAACCTGAATATTGGACATCGGCCACCCCACCGATATTTAACCCGATATTTGATCAGCTTCTGAGTTTCTAAAGTCTAAAAAAAAAAAAAAATGCTACTTCTTCTTCCTCAAAAACTTCTTTTTTACAGACTTAAAAACTTCTAAAGACGAGGAAAAAATATTGATCCATTAAAATATCCCAATATCTTCATATGCTGATATATTGCCATTTAAAAACACCATATCAATCTCTTTTACTAATGAAATATTGCTATATGTCATCGTTATGCTACGAAATCCCCCGAAAATCCACCAAATGTTGCCATATTTTTATATGTTGATATATTGACGCGGTATCGATCTATTTTACTAACAAAATCTCACAAGAATTAGCGAAATATCACGAGAGTTTGTAACAGAACGATGACATTTCACGAGATTTTGAAAGTAAAATAGATCGATACAGCGTTTTTAAAAATCTATTTGATATCAGCATATGAAAATATATTTGAGTATATTATTTTTCAAAGTGTCAGAAATGGATAACAAAACTGCTATTTTCAATGACTACTTATTTTTGTCCAGCTTTAACATCAGTATCGATATCGGTTATCGGCTACATGAGTTTTAAAATATCGGCATATCGGATATCGGCCAAAATCCCAATATCGTGCATCCCTAATGACTATAATCCTGATGACTGATAACCTTCACCAGCATCTATCCACAAAGGCAAAGATTGTGTCAGTTTGCTCTTCTTTTTTTAAAAAATAAAAACAAAAAGAAAACCTTTAAGCAAAAGATTGACTAAAGATTTGAACTGGACTGCTGATTATAATGAAATGCATGTAGAGACAGTTGGATGTTTTGATGCAGCTCATGAGCAGATGGTGCTTTCTGGTTCTGCAGAAACCTCACCCAGACCAACAGCTGCCAACTCAAATGATAAGAAGGAACTTTGTGTCTGTGAAACATAGTTAGAAATGTTTAAATAACCTGATGATGTTTGCTTTAACTTCAGCTCTGGATCGGGTCGACCTGCAGCGCGACCCAGAGGTTTGCGCTGCAGCTCTCTGGGCTGCTGGATAATCTGTGTTTTACTTTGAAGCGCAGCCGATTGTTCTCCACAGAGAGCTTCTGTATTTACAGCAGCCGTCAGCTCAGCAGCGCTGACCACCGGGCAGGCAGGAGGCAGCACTATCAGCCGCAGCCTCTGCCTTTTTGTGTGCCGCTCACAAATCCACTTTGACATGTTAGTAATCCTGTTTGTCCTTAGTGCAAATATGCTGGGAGGGCGTTTAGCTGCGAGACGTTGCGGTTCTGGAGACGATACCTCGGCAGAGGGAGTGAGATTCATTTCTTCTTTCCTCATTGAACAATAAAACAGGGCTGTTAGAGTTCAATCCTGGAAACAGAAGGCTTCAGATCTATCAGACTCTCTACCGTCAGATGATTAAAAATGGCTGATTTGGTGTCTGCAGTTTAATACGTTTGATGTCTGAAGGTTTGAAAACTGCTTGAACATAAACTGTGAAGCAAACCTTTAGTTTTGTTCTATTTATTGGCTTCTTTACTCGCTTGTTGTTGAAGAAGTGATGGTTGTGATTACAGTGTCTGCAGCAGAGCTGATTGGAGGTGGATTTACAGTGGAGCCACATCATTTCATGAGACGTTTCATTTTGCCCAGAGCCCAGTGGGGGGCCGCTGGCCCCTCGGCTGCAGCTTAGTAAACATCTGGCAAGTTTCCTGCACTGTTGCTCCTTACCCTGTAGGGGGCACTGCTAATATGCAGGACAGCTGTGTCCTAATTACCCTAAAAAAGGTTTGACACAACATATAGCAAAGTGTCAGAGATTACACAAATTTTACCCTAATGTGTATACAGGCTATTTAAATTCCAGACTATTCACGGGTATGTTGGCTCGTATTGTCAGGATTAAACTGGCAATATGGCTTGTTTGGACTTCATGTCTGCTCTTACTTTTTTATGTGTTAACATAAAGTTTTGAGCGGAATTTCGATACTTCAAAATGGGAGAAAAGAGATGGAATGAAGCGGCATGAGGAAAAGTGCTCCTTTAGTCCTCCAGCAGCCTAAGCCTATAACAGCATAGAGATAGAAAATAGCTCAGGAAGTTTCATCTTTAAGTTAAAAAAACAAACCAATGGACTTTGTTTCCAAGTTTGAAGACGTTTCGCTTCTCATCCAGAAAGCTTTTTCAATTCCATTCAGTTAATTCATTCCCGCTATCATTGCAACACCCACAGCCAGGCTTCACACGGGTCCTTAAAAAGTATTAAAAGGCATTGAATTCTTCAAAATAAAACTAAGGCCTTAATTGGTATTAAAATGTCTTAAATCCGTCTTTCGTATGTCTTAATTTTTAAAACATCATAACAGGACAATTTTATTACGATTTATTTTTGTAATCTAAATAAAGCGTTAATATTGACAATTTTTTTTATTATTTATAAAAAAAAACATA